GCCCATGTCCCGAGCGCCCGGGCAGCCGGCCCCCAGCCCCCCCCGACCCCTGCAGCCGTAGTCTTTGCTGGCTGTCATCTGCAGCTGCTCCCAGCCTCCTCCCAGCACTGTGCCTGCTGACCGTACACTTTCTTGCTCTCTGCAAACAGGGAGGCCCTGTTGAAATCCTGCCCTTCCTCTACCTGGGCAGCGCCTACCACGCAGCCCGGAGGGACATGCTGGACACTCTGGGCATTACGGCCCTCTTGAACGTCTCGTCGGACTGCCCCAATCACTTCGAGGGGCACTACCAGTACAAGAGCATCCCGGTGGAGGATAACCACAAGGCTGACATCAGCTCCTGGTTCATGGAAGCCATCGAGTACATAGGTAGGCGGCTGGGCTGGGCACGCCAGGTGCTGCTGTGAGGTCTGGCCCAGTGCGGGAAGGGGGGGAGCTGCAGGCTTCAGCTGCTCCTTGGCTCCAGCTGGCTGGCAGGGGGAGAGGCTCTTCCCTCTCCCACTTCCATGCTCAGTCTGCTTGGGGCCCTTGGGGACTCCTGTCTGCCTGGCAGGTCACAGCACTCGAGGGGGGAAGGAGCTAATGGGGTTTCCCTTCTGGGCCAGGAGACATGTTTGCCAATGGCCCTAGCTACAGGCTTCCCAGACAGCAGCACCACTGTCCAATGCCCTAACGCGCCCAATGGAAGGTGGGGACGCTGGGGGCCCGGGTTTGACAGGTGCCTGACATGCAGCTGTCAGGCGTCTGTGGCTCTGCTCCCATCTGGGCTTCAGGGCCGGGGCTGCTGCACCCTACAGGCGCCCTGGTCTGTGCAGCGCTCGTTGCTGGGGTCCCGTCAGCAGGGTCTGCTCTGGCTGCCTTGGGAGTGTGAATTGCTCACCCACTCCTCCTTTCCCCCCAGACTCTGTGAAGGGCTGCCACGGCCGGGTGCTGGTGCACTGCCAAGCCGGCATCTCCCGCTCGGCCACCATCTGCCTGGCCTACCTGATGATGAAGAGGCGCGTAAAGTTGGAGGAGGCCTTTGAATTTGTCAAACAGCGCAGGAGCATCATCTCCCCCAACTTCAGCTTCATGGGGCAGCTTCTGCAGTTTGAGTCCCAAGTGCTGGCCACCTCCTGCGCCGCTGAGGCAGCCAGCCCCTCCGGAGCCCTGAGAGATCGGGGCAAGGCCTCCACCACCCCCGCCTCCCAGTTTGTGTTCAGCTTCCCGGTCTCCGTGGGCATGCACACGACCCCCAGCAGCCTGCCCTACCTGCACAGCCCCATCACCTCCTCCCCCAGCTGTTAGGGCCGGGCACAGACTACGGCAGGCAGGAGGCCGACCTCACGCCGTGAGACTGCAATAATGGAGGGCGCCTGCCCTGCCCCCGGAGCGCAAGCAATAACGGCTGGCTTGCCGCCCGCTTCCAGCCCTGCGGGGGCCCTGCTCCCTCAGACATTTCTTACCTCATTTTTTTTAAGCAGCGAGGCTTGAAGTTGTGAAATCCTGACAATGTGTCTGACCAGTTCTGTTTGGGGAAGAAAATGACAATTTCCCAAAGAGCCTGGTTTTGGTTTTTTAATTTTTTTAATAAAAGGTCCCCCCCACCCAGCAGAAGCGTTTTAGCCAGGGCAGGAGCCGTGATCGAAAGCAGACTTGTGAAAACCCAAGCTGAGCCTCCTGCAGGCTGCAGGGACTGAATGTGGGCCCTCAGAGCCGGTTCTAGAACACAACAGGCGGGTCTCAGCAGCCAGGGCACAAATCCGCTGCACCGCCCTGCGAGGAGACCCTGTAGGGTTCCCACGTGCTGGGAGACGTGTGGGAGTTCATCACTATGGCCCGGACTCTGTGCTTAGGGGGGCGCTTGTGGGGGATACGGCCCAGTGTATCCCCTCCCCTTCCTCACCCTGCGTGGGGTGCTGTTGCTTACCTCACAAAAGGGTGGCTGCTTTCCTGGGGCATGGCTGCTGCTTGTGCACTTGCTCTGCACTCCCTGCTCCTCGAGCGCTGCATGGCCTGGCATGAGCTGTGGTGGTCTCAGCTGAGGGCCTGGCCTGGCTGCTTGAGATCCCGCCTCAGGATCTCTAAGGCAAGTGCCCTGCTGGCAAGCTGGAGCCCTTAGCACATTGTGGTGCTCAGTAATCTTGCTGCCCCCTTCCAGCCCTGCGGGGGCCCTGCTCCCTCAGACATTTCTTACCTCATTTTTTTTAAGCAGCGAGGCTTGAAGTTGTGAAATCCTGACAATGTGTCTGACCAGTTCTGTTTGGGGAAGAAAATGACAATTTCCCAAAGAGCCTGGTTTTGGTTTTTTAATTTTTTTAATAAAAGGTCCCCCCCACCCAGCAGAAGCGTTTTAGCCAGGGCAGGAGCCGTGATCGAAAGCAGACTTGTGAAAACCCAAGCTGAGCCTCCTGCAGGCTGCAGGGACTGAATGTGGGCCCTCAGAGCCGGTTCTAGAACACAACAGGCGGGTCTCAGCAGCCAGGGCACAAATCCGCTGCACCGCCCTGCGAGGAGACCCTGTAGGGTTCCCACGTGCTGGGAGACGTGTGGGAGTTCATCACTATGGCCCGGACTCTGTGCTTAGGGGGGCGCTTGTGGGGGATACGGCCCAGTGTATCCCCTCCCCTTCCTCACCCTGCGTGGGGTGCTGTTGCTTACCTCACAAAAGGGTGGCTGCTTTCCTGGGGCATGGCTGCTGCTTGTGCACTTGCTCTGCACTCCCTGCTCCTCGAGCGCTGCATGGCCTGGCATGAGCTGTGGTGGTCTCAGCTGAGGGCCTGGCCTGGCTGCTTGAGATCCCGCCTCAGGATCTCTAAGGCAAGTGCCCTGCTGGCAAGCTGGAGCCCTTAGCACATTGTGGTGCTCAGTAATCTCTGGCGGGAGGATGCTGCTCCAGAACTGTTCATCCCCAAATCAGAAGAGCCTTTTTATCCCAGAGCAGATTCTCCTTCTGCTAGGGCCATCCTGGCTGTGACTGGGGCAGGCCTTTTCCATGCTGCAGGGCGGATGCTGGCTCTCACACACCCATCAGGGTGCAAGGCCCAATCCTGTTGCTCAGACTGTCCTGGGGCCGCACTGCAGCGACGACTCACTTGAGCAGTGCAGACAAGCTGGCTTGGGCTGAGACTGCCCTGCCAGAGCGTGCTGTCTATTGTCTGGCTGTGGAGAGACCCATGGGAGCAAGCCCCAATTGAGCTAAACAAAGCAGCAGCACTTCAGTGAGTGCATTTCCAGCTGTCTCCTCCCCCCCCGGGCTCTGTGCCTCAGTTTTGTCAGACTCCCTGGAGCAGTTGCACAGCTGAGCACATTGGTTCCAGAGCCCCAGTACTGCTGGAAATGTCGGGGGAGAAGGAAGTGCTAGTGTAAAGCAGGGGTGTCTCCTCTCCTGCCCCCAGCCCACCGTAAACAGGTTCTTGTCCCCTGACTGAGCTAGTGTTGGAATAAACTCTCAGTGCCCCAACAGGGGAAGCAGAAAATTCATCCTTGTATTAAAAACCAGTGAATTCAATGAAGATAGTTTGGCTCAAACATGCGATAGAGGCAGCAGCGCTGCAGTCAGAATTGGGTGCTTGCAGGTGCCAGCTGCTTTTACATTTGCATGTGCAACTGTCTTGCCAGCACAGCTTTGGGGTTTGGCAAAGCCCCTTCATTTGTGTGCCACATCAGAACTGTAGCACCTCACCGTGCCCAGGCTGGAGGGGGCTGATCTGTTCAAACATGGAGCGCTCTCAGAAGCTGCGTCTAGACTGGCAAGATTTTGCACAAATACTTAACAGAAAAGTTTTGCCGTTAAAAGTATTTGCACAAGAGCATCTACACTGGCATGGATGTCTTTTGCGCAAAAGCATCCGTGCCAGAGTAGACGTTCTCTTGCGCAAGAAAGCTCTGATGGCCATTTGAACTTGGCTGTCTACACTGGCCTCTTGCACAAGAATACTTGCGTAAGAGGGCTTATCCCTGAGCGGGAGTGGCGGAGTATTTGCGCAAGAACCACTGGTTTTGTACAGTATAAAGTCAGCGTTCTTGCGCAAATCCTCATGGCCAGTGTAGACAGGTGGCAAGATTTTGTGCAAAATCTTGCCAGTCTAAACATACCCATAGAGTGCAGCTAGCAGCAAAACTGCACTGCACATCTCTCCCCCTGGTCAATTCACCAGCTAGTCAGTGACCCACGCCTCCAGCCTCTGCCCCTTGTCCATTCACTGGCAACAGCCGTTCAGTGGTGGTGTGGAGAGTCCCTGCCTAGAACCAGTTAAAGGCACCACGAACCACTAAGACCCAGCTGGGCGTCTTGTCTTTGCAGCACCTGCCCTGGGGAGCTCAGTGGCTGGCGGTGCTTTGTGCAGTGAGCTGAGGGCTGACTCCAGTGCTGCCCCTGTAGCAGGGGCAGAGGAGAGAGAGAAGCAGGGCTTGTTGCCGGGGACGGGGTGCGCTAACCCCTTGGCATGGCAGCAGGCAGGATGGATTCCAGCAGAAGCGTCCTGTCACCAGGCCCCTCTTGGTCCAGCGTGGGTGCAAAGCAAGCAGGACTGCAGGTGAACACTTTCCCCCAAGAGACGGCCGCTCTCTGGGTGGCGCGGCCTCCACGCCCAGTCTCGCTGCACAGAGCTGGGGGTGTTTGCTTTAGTGCTGGCTCCTCCCATGTCCAGAGACCTTGTCCTGCACTTGAGCACAGTGCTGTGGCCCCCCCGCAGAGGATTCTTGCTGTTGCTGTTTGCACAGTCTGGCCACCTCTGAGCAAGGTGGCATTGACCCTCCTGGGGCACAGCCAGGCAGCAGCTCGGGCTGAAATCCGCAGAGTGATGCAGTAATCCCTGGGCACAGCCCCTGGCTCCCAGCACTCCTGCTGCCTAGATGTGGGGTGTTAGAAAGTTGATGTATGTTTGTTTGTATTTATTGCCTGACAGATCGTTTGGAGAGAAATAAACGCTTTCAGCAGCCGTGTCGGAGTCATGCTGTGCCACCGGGTGTTCCAGCAGCGCAGCTCTCAGCCCGTCTGACGGGAAAGCGAGGCCCTGCCAAGGGGCAATCACCAGTCTGTGGGGGAGCCAGGTCTCCCACCTGTTGTACCCGAGTAGGCCCTGGGCGTGAGCGTGGCTCCTGCACTTGTTTGCTTACTTGAAGGTAGCCGTGCGGCCTGCGTGCGCTGAGCCCAGCTAGACCCAGAGCTGCCCGACGTGGCTGTAGCCTGCTCCACGTTGCTCTGTGACCCTCACCCTGTCCTTGATCCCATCCCCCCACTTTCACTTGCCAGCTCATTATGGAATTGCTGCTAAAGTCCCCACCTCGCCAGGGCTCAGGCAGGAGCACAGCGCCCGACCCTTCATTTCCTCTCGGGTGCTTTCATGTGAAACAGGTAACTGACAAGCCCCGCCCACAGGCAGTCCCGTGGAGGAGCAGGCTAGGAGCTGCGCTCAGATTTACTTTAATGGGGGTCTGTGCTGGCCAAGAACTGGCTGCACGTAGCTATAGCCTGTCAGCCACAGCTAGCGAAAGGGTGGTCAGGCGCTGGCTTTTCTAGAAGGCGCCAGGCCCGTGCCACTGGGGAAAGAACTAGTGGTGCAGCGGGCGCCACACACCTGTACTAGCAGCAGGGCCAGAATGGCTCTGCTACTGGAGCAGCCTGGAACTTGGGGCTGGTCCCCGCACACGGCCTGGCTGTGCAGCCCAGGATTTGCTCCTGTCATTTATTCTCAAGGCTGCAGGTGTGTCCCCTGGCTGCATGGCATATGTGCGGAGCTACACGGTCCTATGGCAAGGGCCCTTCAGCTAGCTCAGCCATCCCTAAGCAACCACCATGTCCTCGGCCCATTCCACCCTCCCTGCTGCTGCATGGGCTCCTTGCATGCCCGTTTGCAGGGCTCCGGGGTACTTGCTGTGCTTCCTGGGGCCACCAGCAAGTGCTGCAGGGCTGGGTGCAGAAGGGTAGCAACTGCCCAACCCTGCCCTCATCCCAAACATCTGTCGCGCCACCTTGTCTCCTTCCCCCAATCGCGCTCATTCTTGTACTGCCCATTCAGCAGAGCTGTATGGGTCTCCACGTGCTGCCCGCGCTCCCCAGGACCAGCCAATCTCCCAGGGGCAGGGGGCAACTTGGTCCCTGGTGCCCATTTCTGATCAGCCTCCGCAGGTAGCAGAGCGCCCGTTACCCAACCAACTCGGGCTTCAGCACATGGCTCATCCAGACCCAGCCTATAGGGCTGCACTGCCCCCTACTGGCCAGTGTCCCTGGATCTCACTCAGATCTCAGCCCCTTTCTTCACCCTGCGAGCGGAGGGCTTTGGCCACAGGGTTCCTCGTGCAGCCTTCTACAGCTCCAGCCATACTAGTGCTCAGTGCCTGCCCTGCTGTTCCTCACGCCGCCCTCCACAGCCGCCTCAGCCAGTTCAGTTTGCTGCTTTCCCTGGGCCCAGCCAAGAGTCTCAGTGGAGCAGGGCCAATTCATCCACCACAGGTGGCAAAGGCACCCCAAGCCCTCAGCTTCCTCCAATGCACTCCTTGTCCATCACTGCTGCAGAGGGCAACCGAGCCGTGCCGCCAGTTTCGCGCCGTGCCTATTATCCAAACAATCTCAGCCAGCAAGAATAGAACAATCAGAAGACTAGAGGGGACCCTGAGAGGCCATCTAGTCTAATCCTTGCCCTCACGGCAGGACTATTACTAAAGGTCTGGAGAACATGAGCTCTGAAGGAAGACTGAAAGAATTGGGCTGGTTTAGTTTGGAAAGGAGAAGACCGAGAGGGGACATGACAGCGCTTTTCAAGCATCTAAAAGGGTGTTACAAGGAGGAGGGGCACAATTGTTCTCCGTGGCCTCTGAGGACAGGACAAGAAGCAATGGGCTGAAACTGCAGCAAGGGAGGTTGAGGTTGGACATTAGGGAAAACTTCCTGCCTGCCAGGGTGGTCAAACACTGGAATAAATTGCCCAGGGAGGTTGTGGAGTCTCCATCCCTGGAGAGATTTAAGAGCCGGCTAGACACACACCTGCTAGGGATGATCTCAATGGTGCTTGCTCCTGCCGTGAGGGCAGGGGACGGGACTTGACCTCTCGAGGTCCCTTCCAGTCCTAGTGTTCTTTGGTTCTACGGTTCTCTCTGGAACTGCTGAAGTAGGAAGCTGAAGAATCC